CTGCAAATCTTAAGAATTTTATTCTTGCAAATCATAAGAAAAATGAACAAGTTTATAATGAATATGGAGAAGGAAGCAATTTGATTTTTAGTTGTTAAGTGCCAATTTATTTCATTATCCAAAGAGGTGTAGCATCCTCTAGCCAATATAAATTATTCTTTGTATCTAAAAATGACATTTGTGTGTCTTTTTTGTATTTTATTGTTTATTATTGATTTTTACAAATAGAATATTCGATGATTTCTCTTTATTTCAATTCCTCTTTTCTTGTCCGTAGCTTCATTATATTCTTCTTACGAGTTGATAGACTACAAATTATTGGTATACACATCAAGTGAAAGACATGCAGAACGAAGCTTCAAATGCAGATTTGAAGAAGAGTGCAACTCTAGGTTAAGTTTCTCTCTTTAATGGACAAGTATCTCCTTATTAACTTATCTCAGGAGTTTGAAGTAAAGAGGTCATTGAGCTATTTCTTTTTTATTATCGACAAATCTTCTGTTGTTGCCAATCCACAATTTGTAGCAGTCACAGAACTATTTAATCTTATGGACTCTAAGTGCAAATGAGCACCGTTTCATTTGCTTAGCTCTTTTTCTTTTTCTGCTTGGATATAGAGTTATTTGCTGCAATGCGAAATTTCTTCCCATTTTTTATTTACTGAATTGGCAGTATTTTGTTTTATCTGCTATTTTCCGATTCATAGATGATGATTTTGGGAAGGATTTTTTCAACTCCTGGAAATCAGCAAAATTGGGAAATGATTCAATATATTTTGACATGGAAACAGTCCCAGAGAATATAAAGCCTTCCTTTAAATTTGACGAACTGTAAGTCATCCAATTATTAATTATTTTTATTCATTATAAAATAAAATCACTTGATGATCTCATACAAGCTACCGAGCTTTAAGAAATTTATCTTTTGCTTTCCTTTTAGAATTAAATCAAAATATGAGTTTCATATATGAAGTGTCTAATGATAACTTTTCTCTAGAGATAATTTTGAACTTAGTGGGAACTTTGACAAGCTGCCCTCCTTCAAGTTGGATGTGCCTGACCTTGATTTCCCTGATTCGTCAAAGAAAAATGAAAAGAAAAATGAGAAGTCGTCCAAAGAATTTGATAAAGGAATAAAGGAACTAAAAGGCGACAAATTCTCATTTGATTTTGATTTTAACAGGTATGCCATTTTTTGTGGATAAATCAACCCACTATTTTGATTTCAAC